ACAGCAGAAGTGAACACAATCTACAGGCATCTTGTTGATATGGAACATGAAGTAGACACCTTGGGCTCCTTTAAGATAATAAAGAAAATAACTGACTTCTCATGTTTGCTGAGGATGTACTTATCAATTATGTGAAACCAGAAACAAACACTTATCTCTATGTGCGTATCCTGCAAGTGCAATCTCTTCTTTCTATCTTCTACCTCATGAAATTTTATTTTAATTAAGCCCCATTTCTTCTTGGTTAGTTGTCAAATTTGTTTTTCTCTGCTTCTTTTAGCTGAACTGACGTATTCATCTATAATGCTTCATTCATACTTTGTTGTCGAATTTTCCAGACAGTGAACTAGTCTGAACCACCTGTATACAGTATATTCAACTGAAACTTCTGATCACGTTTTATTTATTACTTCGGAATCCCCTACTAGCTGAAATCATGTTAACCCTGCAAATATAACATGACATACTCCATATATATAGTCTGAATTGTTCAGATTGTATGCGACCTATGACAAACTAATCTTTGTGTTTGTCTGTATCGAAATTCATATGACTTTAATAGCATACATTCACCAAGTCAGCAACTAAAAGTATAACTAGTCAAAAATGGTAGATTAGAAACGGCATTTTCTACAGTTAAACCGGTATTATTTTAATAGGAAATCGTAGAAATAGCAGCACTTCATATTTTCCTCATTCCATTGAATTAAGTTCATATTCATATATTCAGGTAGACAACAACTGAGTCAGTTTATACACAGCTTAATTGACAGGATAAGAAATATTGTTTCGTCTTAAATTTATGATAATCACTACTTAATTTGACATCAGAAGTTACATCAAATAAAAGACTGAAAAGACGGATTAAAAGTGCATTTTATAAATAACGAAAATAGTTGTATAAAAGAACTTGTCCGAATAAAAAAAACTAACTTACTGTATGATAATGAAAGTAAATAAAAAAAAGTATACCCTTCACATCCACATGAAAATTAAGCAGTTGTTTTCATAATTAAAACTAACTTCAGCTAAGATAAGGGAATCTTTAGTGGAATAGACTGATTTTAATTACCCGTAAGTTATTAATTTGAATTCTGCAGTATTATTGGCAAATAAGATACATTTAAAAAGAATTGAACCCAGTGCAATCATTAAAAATAACTTAATGCATATGGTTATGGAAGCCTGACGTTAGAATGATTTCAAATGATTCCTCATACAAATGAATATTACATCAAAATTATTTAAAGTCTATAGGTAATTCTTCACGTTTTTACTTTAACAGAAATGTAATCAAATAGGCTTTATAACCAATTCATCTAAAGAATAATGACTTAATTACTGCGTTCATATTAGTAAGCTAAAGTTGGTCACACACTATATAAATGTGATATATTGACTAACGAAATTAACTCACATTTTGCACGTCGAAAGCGAATGTCTAAAATTTGACCCAGATGTTTAAGGGTTTATTCATGGAGTTGTTGCTTTAAGTTCATTATGCGAAGGGAGGAACCGTTGTTAATAATAATGCATATTAACCACGTGTGATGATTGAAATAGTAGTAGGATGTGTATTTGTGGTTATATTAATACCTTAAACCAATGGCCAGGTGTAAATTCTATTGTGTTGCAACTGAATGTCAGACAATTATCAGATAAAATGGTGTCTAAACACCTGACATTTTAGATACAAATATTCTTTAGTAAAATGAAATATTTTATGTTACAATAATAGCAGCGAAGAAAATTTTCTTTTCGACGAAGTCATCATCTAGGCTGTACATTCGTGTATTTATATCAAATGGATGAGGAAGTCCCAGAATAATTTCCGGTTAAGGATCAAATTAATAAAAATTACAATTAGGAATTAGAATGCCATAATAAACAGGGGACGGATTAAACAAACAAAGTAGCATCATAATAACTAAGATGATTGACATTGTGCAATTAGGGGTCAGAAATCTAGAAATAACAAAATAGATAGGATATTTGGATAAAAAAACTAATGTGATGAATAAGTGTTTATGCAATCAGGGAGTAAATATGTAGAAATAGTAAAATGAAAAAATAAACACGAAGTTCGGGCATGAAAATATGGTAGTGTAAACAGGGATTAAGAAAAACTTTTAAAAATAACATGAATAAACAGGAAGTTTAGATAAGAAAGGCGATGGGGTGGTCATTACTAAAAAATTACCTGCTTATGATGGCCATGGCATGGACAGGGTTATTATGGCATTCTAATTCCTAATTGTAATTTTTATTAATTTGACCATTAACCGGAAATCATTCTGGGACTTCCCCATCCACTTGATATAAATACACGAATGTACAGCCTAGATGATGACTTCGTCGAAAAGAAAATTTTCTTCGCTGCAATTGTCTTCTTAATAACTCCTATGACCCAATGTGTATATTCCGTGGTTAGAATAATAATAATAATAAATGAAAGTGATAGTAACAGTTACTACTGGAAGTTCGTTAGATTGTTTTATCTGAAAATATTAATCTTAATAGAATGAATAAGGTATGTGAAATATTTTAATCTGTACATTAAAATTCCATCTACACTAATATTGCAAATGATTCATTCGCTTATCAAAATTGTCACCTAAGAATAGCTTCAAAGGAAGCATATGTATCAAGTCTTCCTGACCAGTAGGAGATCGTATCGCTTAGACTTCCTCCGAATACGATGGACGCTAATATATGTGCTCTTCTGAATAAAACTACAAGACAAAAACCATGTCTAAAGATTAATTCCATTATATTCCTAGCTGATGGTACACTTATGCATTTGTCAATTTTCAATGAAGTCGCTTTAGATAACTCTATCTTTTTCGAAGTAGTATTCACCACTTTACTACTTTTAAACTTTCGTTCACTTAGTCACCTTCTGTGAAATCTGTTATCAAATAATATTTTCTAATATACTTTTAACTGCTCACTTGCGCAAACATCGAATGTTTTTTTATCACCTGACATTTTGACGAGATAGTGTTTTTCTTGAAGAAGAACAGTTTTATGTCTTTTGTGAATATTACGGTTTGAAACTTCAATATCATATTAACAATCTTCATAAAAATCATCTTGAAATTTCACGAGGCACCGTAAAATAATATAGGTCTGTCTTTATACTAATTACTTTGTTTCTTATATTGAACCACACTGGAATAAATTACTTGTAATATATAGTCAAATACTGAAATGTCTTTTCTATCCTAAACTAATAAATTCCTTTTTAAATTATGTTTGTGTTGATAATGTCTTTTGCACATTAACGACTGCAGTTTACCTGCACAATACACAACACACTTAAGTGTCAAATTTCTATTCAAGCAGTAAAGACGAATGAAAATATCAGAAAAGTTAATAAATATCTATTTAAGTACGTCAAGTTATTTTTTCTGAATTCAAGTTATGGAAGAACGTCGAAAATGTGACCTTAAATGAAAATCCAATGAATCACTAATGAGAGAGGTTTATTCATCGAAAAAGCTACCAGACTACAGGATCTTACACTTTTACTAGAAATTCTAATGAAACAAAGACTGTTTTCAATACATTGGATCGCTTGTGACGATATATAGCATTTTTTTTAAACTTTAAATTTTTCCCCATCGAATACTCTTCAGACCCTTCAAATTTTGGCTTTGAATACTTAAACTAGTTCTGAATTGTGATGACTTCCACATTTCACCATGTTAAAAAGTCAAGTCCAGTTTTACGAAATTTATGATGATTTCAAAAGTTGACTGATAACGGCATCCGTCATTCACTGTTTTAAGTGTCACTTTGACCATTCAGAAGATCCCAAATATTTGACGACTAGTACTAGTATGTACCAGTATGTTAACTGACTACATAATTGTTATAATATTGTATAAACTATAATCTGTCATTTGAATATTATAGCCGGATTCTCTCAAGCTTGATTTTAAGATGTATATTTTCTAAGAGTTTTATAGGGAATCTCGATCGGAGTTTCTGAAGTCTCTTGAATCTAAAGGTATTCACCTTTCCTTGTCTCGGCAGCATTGTTTAATATATATAGCCCACACAGATCAAGATTTCCAAGCGAGGATAAGAAAAGCAAGACAGACCTTCATTAGTGTAAAGTTGGTGTGGAAGTCTACTGATCTCAGAATAATGAACACGATTCGCATTTTTAACATTATTGTCATGTCAGTTCTTCTATATGGTTTACAGACTTGACACACCAGCAAAAGCATTGACGAAAGGCTACTAAAGACTCTTGCCAGTAGTTGCCTAGATAGGAAGGCTGGCCAGAAAGGGTTGTCAACAAAGAACTCTAACAAAGAACAAACCAAGAACCTACCACCCAACAAAAACACAGAAGAAAGTTGAGATGAATTAACCGAGCATAAGCTGTGCACACTCAAGTAAAATCATGTGCCAGGTTCCAGAGTGGGGTTCGAATGGGAGATGGTGAGTTTGGAGCCCAAGAGTGACATGAGCGAGATAGTGTAAGGAGGAGATAGGACCTTGCAGTAAGTCGTGGAGCCAACTAAGGAAGACTGCAGACAAAGTGGTAAAATGGAGTTGTGCTAATGATGTCTTATATTCCGCTCAGAAAAAAAGGAATAATAATAAATATAGTGTCCTGAATAACTATTATAAGTGGCTTCTTGTACAAAAACTCATCTATTTGAAACATATATTCATACTGAATCTTGTATCTCATGTTATTACCGACAGCATACAGAGAATCAGCAATAGAGCTGCAAGAACATATTTCAAAAATGATAACTATATTTTGGATGTCACTATGGTATTCAGTTTGTTCTATTGTAAGTCTAGTAGTTCTGAATATCCTAAGGATAGCATTACTAAAATTATTTACAGCAGTTACACTGAAGGTCATGAAAAAAATTATTTTGAATGGATGCAAATAAGAAAGGTAGAAAGATGCAGTAGTTATGTAAAACAAGAAATACTTTGATTCATTATCTCGAAAAATATCTATATAAACTCACGATATTTCACAAGAAATTCCACAAACACTTTCCGGCAAGATTAGTTGATTTATGCACAAGAAACTTCATTTTAAATTTTATTCTACACTATTCATTGGCATGTATAAATGGGTAAGTTGGTGAAATTTCCTTAATGCTGGGAAGTTACGTATTGAATACAAATAAAGCTAGTGCTTTTCCCTATGAATGTCAGTACAAGCTATCTAACCAATCAGCGATCAGTGGGTTTGTACTCCTAGCAGTATTTTAATTGGTTAAAATTTGGAAATAAATTACACTAGATACCTGGTTTGATAACTAATTTCAAATTTCTGTTGTTATATTTAACAGGAATTCATGCAGAAAAAGTTAACTCGTCATATCTTTTTTAAAAATCCTGTGTCACAAATACTGTTATTCTTTTTCTAAAAACCAGTCTGTGTTTCTAAAACTAGTCATTTAAATTTCAATGTTCATCTGGAAAAGTAATTGTGTTAGTTGTTGATGAAAACGTCTGGGGATATGGATCACAACGTTTGTACAATCAGCAATATCCACTTCTGTTTGTCAGACCTTTGCATTTTGATTGACTGAAGATGCTCATCAAAATACGAGGACTGACTGATGAACGAAGAGTATCCTTTATGACAAATTCGTCAGGCTCTCCACTTATATGACCATAATAATTGTTACTAACAACATTAATGCTGTTTCAAATTGCATTGAATCAATAATGCAATAGATTACATTTCAAAATCATCAGTAAGAGATAATATACATCAACAATAATTTGGTGCGTCAGTGGCACAGTGGTAGAATGCTCGCCAAACACGCATGTGGCCTGGGGTTGGGTTTCCGGCTGATGCACTCCTTCACCTTGCTAAACTAGTAATAAGATTAGTAAAGATAGAAGTTTCGGAATGAGGCTAGCAACCTAATCCCGTAAAATTAAACACCACTGCTACCGAAACTTCAAGCCTTTAGCTTAAAGTACTATGTTCCACTGGGGAAGTAAAGGAATAAAAAAATATTTTAAAAAATGACACTAAACTGAATATCAGATAAATTAAGGGACAACCTTAACAGAACATTGTCATCTTATTGGCGGTCTATGGGTGGTAACTTCACGCTTTGTGAAAATGGCTTGAATAGGAATGAGATAGTATCTTACTTCAGTGAAGTACATTCAGCCATAAAATTCAAGCATGAGGAAGAATTCCATAGTAAAATAACCTTTTTAGACGTCCTAATGACAGGAAGACTGCATGGCAGTAAAAAGAGGAATTTGCATAAGAAATTTACTTGCCCCGGTCAGTGTACACATTATCACAGCTTCATTCCTCTCGATTATGAAAGAAATTCGGTAAATACTCTCAGCTACGGGGTCAGAGCTATCTATTCTGAAGATGCAATCGAAGATGAACTTGGGGTTATATACGACACATTGATTGAAAACAGCTACGCTGAAAACTTCATCATTAAACACATGGTCAAGAGAGTAAAAAATAATTCTCCTGTTTGTTAATAAGAAGCCTCTATATATACAACTACAACTCATAGGTGATATACCAAGAAAAATAATAGCCAAAAGTTGAGAAAATGGACCCAGACAACGTTTAATTTCAGTAAGCTGCAGCTTATATTTTCCATACAATCGATTGTGATTCCGAAATCGAACGATGAAGTACCTAGGTTAGCCACCTCTAATTGTATCTATCAGTTCAACTGCTGCTGTGGAACCAGTCTTATTGGCTGTTTCTCTACGAAATCAATTTTATGTATTCCGGAAAATCTAGCATTATGGTTAAATAGAGGTGCTGTTGAAGCCATCAACACCACCTCGTTTATATACGCCACAAAGCTAGCATTGGAAAGTCTTCTTCTATAATCTATCTGGTATCGAATAAATTGCCAAAGGCCTGTAGACACTGAACGCTCCAAAGACCAGAAGACACCGAAGTTAACTAAAATCAACAGGAGTTTTACTTGCAAAAGAAACAGGTTCAGTCACTATTGCTACCTTGGGCTGCTCTAGAACCCATAAATTCTGCGTTACTTACCTTAATTTACCTGACGAATTTGTCGTAAAGGATACTCTTCGTTCATCAGTAAGTCCGTATATTTTGATATGATATATCGGGTGAAATTTTATCAGCTGGTCTGATGTAATTGTTTAATTTAATAAATAACCAGTAAAATGAAGAGAAATTTATGCTTTAAAATTGTCTTTCACCTAGCTAAAAGTTTTTTGCTGAAGGGGGCAAAAAAAAACATAAACACATCTATAATTGTATATATTGTTGGATTTATATGTTCAAGTTGCTCCAAGTCAGTGAGTTTATGGTTAAGATATCATTTTAGTTAAATGTACTGAACTATATTGCATGTTGTCTTATTGTATAGTTGTCGTCGCTTTTTGCCCTTTTTTCTGTGAACTGTTTCCTTTGTTGATGTTGTTCTCATTGTTTGTCCGTTATTTTCTGATTTTGAGGGGAGCAACCCAAAAAGTTGCTTCTCTCTAAACTTTTACTTAATGTAATCATTCTTTTCTCAGGCGTGAGGCTAGCAACCCCACCCTGTAAACAAAATTGCTAAAGAAACTTCAGTATGTTGAACCTCCTTGCACCAAAAGAAAAAGTCTGTGTAGGAACATGGAACGTCCGAACTATGTACGAGACTGGAAAGCTGCCCAGATCGCCAACGAGATGAAAAGATACGGAATACAAGTGCTGGGAATATGTGAGAGCAGATGGAATGGGAGTGGACTCACCAAATTGTCAACAGGTGAGTCAGTGATCTACTCCGGTCACCCAGAAGATAACCACACGCACACCGAGGGCGTGGCTATCATGATGTCACCAACGGCAACGAAAGCCCTGATACAATGGGAGGCGATTTCGTCCAGGATAATGACCGCCAGGTTCAACTCCAAAGGAAGGAAAGTGTCAATCATACAATGTTATGCACCCACAAACAACGCAGACCTCGAGAAGAAAGAAGAATTCTACAGGCAACTACAGGCAACAATGGACAATACTCCAGCTGGCGACATGAAAATACTAATGGGAGACATGAACGCCAAACTGGGACCAGACAATCAGGAAGGGAACTCATCATGGGTAGAGAAGCTCTAGGAGAAATGAATGAAAACGGAGAACTCTTCGCCGACTTCTGCGCCTTCAACGAACTGGTGATTGGTGGCAGTGTATACAAGCACAAAGATATCCACAAGGCTACATGGGTGTCACCAGACGGGCAAACCAAAAACCAAATCGACTTCATCTCAATCTCAAGGAAGTGGAGGCGCAGCCTACTGGACACAAAAGCAAGAAGAGGAGCAGACGTTGGCTCAGACCACTATCTCGTACAAGGGACAATCCAAATCAAATTAAAAGCTTTCAGGAAGCAGGAGCTGCAGATAGACCACAAGCCAAGTTCAACACTCAAAAGCTGAAGGACCAGGCTACAAAGGACATCTTCATTGCAAGCATAAAGGACAAAGCCGAGACACAAATCAACACTAGCGAAGAGGTCGGCGTTGAAAAGCACTGGAACAACTTGAAAACGGTGTGGAGCCAAACCTGCATAGAAATTCTAGGCAGAAAAAAGAGACAGGACAAACAGTGGCTCACTACGGACACTTGGAAACTAATAGAAGAGAGAAGGACAGTGAAGCAAAAGATTATCCAGTGCACTGACGAGCAACAAAAACAGGAGCTGAATGCAAGCTACAATACACTGAACAAAAGAGTGAAGAAAGTGCCAGGGAAGACAAAAGAAAATATTATGAAACCATGGCAAACGAAGCAGAACAAGCTGCAGGCAAAGGAGACCTCGCCACACTCTACCAAACAACTAGGCACCTTTCGGGCAAACGTTCGACACAGATTAAGCCAATAAAGGACGACAATGGAAAGTCAATCACCAAAGAGGTGGAACAGAGAAAGCACTGGGTTGAACACTTCAAAAGACTTCTAAATCGTCCGCCACCTACAACACGCCCAGCAATACCAACAACGGAAGCAGAACTACCAGTGAACACTGACCCCCCGACGAAATCAGAAGTCCTGAATGCAATCAAGATGCTTAAAACTGGGAAAACACCGGGACCAGATGGAATCCCAGCAGAAGCTTTGAAAATAGACCCAGAGACAACAGCGGACTTGATGACACCACTGCTGGAGAAGGTGTGGAAAGAGGGCAAAGTACCCGAGGATTGGAAGAACGGATACTTATTCAAACTTCCAAAGAAAGGAGACTTAAGTCAATGTAAAAACTGGCGTGGAATTATGCTTCTGTCCATTCCAAGCAAGATACTAAGTCGCATCATCCTGGAGAGAATCAAACAAGCCCTAGATGAAAAACTTCGTCCGGAACAGGCTGGATTCAGGAGAAACAAATCATGTATTGATCAAATCGCCACTCTACGGATCATCATTGAACAAAGCTTGGAATGGCAGTCACCTCTCTATCTCAACTTCATCGACTTTGAAAAGGCCTTCGACAGCGTCGATCGAGAGGTCATTTGGAAACTACTTCGCTACTACGGGGTCCCATCGACAATTATACATCTCATCCAACAGTTATACGACAATGCTGCATGCCAAGTAATCCACAACGGGAAACTTACGGAAGCCTTCGAAGTGAGGACGGGAGTGAGGCAAGGCTGTCTACTATCACCAATGATCTTCCTGATTGCAATTGATTGGATAATGCGACAGACAACGGCAGGCAACGAGGGAACAGGCATAAAATGGACTGACACAAAAAACTTGGAGGATCTGGATTTCGCCGATGATATATGTCTGATTTCCCATAAACTGGAAGATATGCAAGTGAAAAGTAACAAGTTGGCAGAAGAAGCATCAAAGATAGGACTTCACGTGAACATAGATAAAACAGAGATGATGAAGATTCCTAGCCAACATCAACAGCAACAACAACAGACAACAATCAGCATAAATGGGAAGAACCTGAAAGAAACAACCTCCTTCACCTACCTGGGAAGCATCGTCTCAACTACAGGCGGAACTGACGAGGACATCAAAGCCAGAATCGGAAAAGCAAGACAAGCTTTCATTACTCTCAAATCTGTGTGGAGGTCAACAGCACTCAGCATCAAAAATAAGATCCGGATTTTCAACTCCAATGTGAAGTCAGTGCTACTATACGGATCAGAGACTTGGCGAGTCATAAAGAGCATCTCAAACAAACTTCAGACCTTCATCAATAGCTGTCTTCGCTCAATACTCAAGATCAGATGGCCAGAAAAGATCAGCAACAGGGATCTCTGGGAGCGAACCAATCAGGAACCGATTGTGAAACAAATAGTCAGGAAGAAATGGAGATGGATTGGCCATACGCTGAGGAAACCATCAAGTGACATCACTAGACAAGCCCTCGAGTGGAACCCGAAAGGGAGGCGGCGAGTTGGTCGTCGTCAAGGGTGACTTGGAGGAGGTCATGCGAGGAGGAGATGAAAGCATGTGGACAGACCTGGAGCAGGGTGAAAAAGTTGTCAGGAAACCGAAGGCAATGGAGGTGCGCAGCTGAAACCCTATGTTCCTCTAGGAACTAAAGGATACAATAATAATAATAAATAGCTAAAAGTAATATTTCTGCTTGAGAAAGACATCTGAAAATGAAAACAGAAGTTATAAGACGTCAAATCTAATTTATTCACCATAAGGTTTGAAAATAACCACCCATGTGGGACTGGTTTTGGGAATTACGAGACTGTCAGTATTAAATTTTAAGCTTATAGACATAATTTACATTCAGTTTGTTCTGCTTTTTCTTATTATAATAAAATTATCGCGTGAAATCTAAGAAAACCACCCTCTACAGAATATTTTAATAACAGACTAAATGACACAATAGGTGATTTCAACTGGTGAAGTAGACGAGCAGTTATTTATTTTGATGAAGAAGCCCTACACATTAGGACACAGTGGTATCTGGTAGTAGAACTGTTTATTTAGTAAAATGAAATATACTGATGACAAAATGCAAATGCTTTCCTTATATCGAAACCTCCATTTGTTAGACGCATTCGCATTCTGCTTCTATTGTCCTCATTTCGCGCTTCCTATACCGCTTCACAATCGTATTCATTTATCTTCCTTGTAGCATAATTCACTACTCCACTAGTCAAGATTATTTCCGAAGACGTCACTAATATACTACTTTAAAGTTCTCAACAGCACATGCCGCAAGTTTCAGATTTTATTTTTGATTAATATTTCGGTCACACACAAAAAAAAAATCACACTATGTGTGTCACATCTAATTGCTTTTAAATTGTGAGCTCTTTATACAGAAGAAGCTTGTTCATTCAATAAAATTACACTGCACCTGATCAGTCTAAACACCAAATGCGCAATTTTTGTTTTTAATTGTGTTATTCCCTCCCTCTGCCTATTTAATTTCTATCTCCTATTATCATTGTTGCTAACTTAACTGTCATTCAATTTCGCTTGATTTCCATTCAATTCCGTCAATAGTATTGAGTCATCTAATGTACTTATATAATTTTATCTCAGTTCCTGTCCGAATAAATCCTTCTGTATTACGTAGTCATTACGTAGAATTTAAATTCCGATGACACATAGTCAGAAACATTCCTTATTTCGGTAAGAAAATTATAAACATATATATGTGCGTCGGTGGCATAGTGGTTAGGACTCTCGCCGACCATGCACATGGTCCGGGGTTCGATCCCCTGCCGACGCACACCCGATATCAATGGTTGGCCTGCTAAATTTGGGCTACCGGTATCACATGCTGAAAATTCCATACTTGTACCAAAAAGTACTGTGTGGAATCAAGCTGTAATAAAAAAAAAGATGTATATATCATGCAGCTTGATAATGGCATTGCTGGAAAGAGTAGCTCTTCGCTGAACGTCTTTCCTTTTGTATGACAGACTTATAACCACACTTATAATTGTACAAAAACCTTCGCCTTTTTAAAAAAAACTGAAAGTCAGTAGTATCCTGTACAACACTCAGATAATGGCGTTGAGTAAACAGATGTTATTGTTGGACAGCAGGCCAAAACTTTGTAAGAAGTTATCACTGCATTTGGCATGTTTGATTTCATCATCAGTTACAGGTAAGGGGCGAACAGCATTATCAACTGTGAAAACTTCGTTGTCATCGAAATAAGTCTCTACGATAGCAAATGTTCAACTCAGCTAGCACAGTTGGTAATTAGACGCGATGGAGAATTACTCGTTTGACTAGAAGGAATACCAAACTCATACCCCTAGTGTTAAAGTTGATTGAGTGACTGCTTAGTAATACTAGACTTCAATTAGTAAACTGAGATTAAGAGTTTGGGGTCGGTCACTATGATAGTTCGATAGCCACGAACCACTTTGTGGAAACGTTTCACAGAGAAGGCTAAAGATAAGGCATCACTTTTTCAATTTATTCGTATTTCTTCTCCACACATGTCAGTGTTTTGCATGCATACATGACTGCTTACTGTGAATAACAATGATAATAATTTGCTCTATTCCAAAACAGTACTTTTGATACAGAATGGAATTCTCAGAATTTTACTACAGTACTGCATCCAGTTAATACATTTATTATTATTATATGCTTTAGTTCCTAGAGGAACATAGGGTTTCAGCTGCGCACCTCCATTGCCTTCGGTTTCCTGACAACTTTTTCACCCTGCTCCAGGTCTGTCCACATGCTTTCATCTCCTCCTCGCATGACCTCCTCCAAGTCACCATTGCACTGACGACCAACTCGCCGCCTCCCTTTCGGGTTCCACTCGAGTAATGGTTTGTCTAGTGATGTCACTTGATGGTTTCCTCATAGTATGGCCAATCCATCTCCATTTCTTCCTGAATATTTGTTGCACAATCGATTCCTGATTGGTTCGCTCCCAGAGATCCCTGTTGCTGATCTTTTCTGGCCGGCCATCTGATCTTGAGTATTGAGCGAAGAAAGCTATTGATGAAGGTCTGAAGTTTGTTTGAGATGCTCTTTATGACTCGCCAAGTCTCTGATCCGTATAGTAGCACTGACTTCACATTGGAGTTGAAAATCCGGATCTTATTTTTGATGCTGAGTGCTGTTGGCTTCATTAGTACATTATCAATAAATAAAATCCTACATAGATTAAGGTAATCTCAGTTCATTGTGACAACAACATATTGGCATGTTGATAGCAAAGCCAAAATTGAACAGAGTGTTTTAGGGTGCTAGAAAAGTAAGTGCTAGCATATTTACTGGCGTAAGCGGTAACAAAAAGGTGAAGATATACAGAGTGTGAAAGAAAGAAGAAGAATGTTTCAAATAGAGCTTGTAAGGAAGAGAGAAACAAATAGCACATAAGAAAAAAAGAAGGGAAAGAAAGGAAACATTGTACCTTTAAATGATATGAGTTGGAAAGACGAGATCCAGTTGTTCTACTGACTATTTAATAAGTTATAGGTAACACGCCTAATGCTTTCTTTATCGCACAGAACACAAGCTATGTAGGGTATGGTTGGGTTTTTACACTTCCTAGTGCTAGCATATAGTTTTCTATATTAGATTCTGGTTTTCCCTGATGAGATACAAAGAGAGAGATGTGAATGAAGAGGGTGGTGTGAGTTAGATAAAATGGATGTAGCCCATTTTTCACATGAGTCCAAGTGCCTGTCAACCATAATATTAACAAGCTGGTTAAGTGGCACGTTGCTTACCTCGCTGACAACCTTTAACATCCTGCGTAGTAAGGTATAGTCTTTCTTCAGTAGCCCTGGAAAAACTAAGGGGGGAACAATAGAGAATTATAGGCAGGATGCAAGAGTTAACGAATCGTAGGAGTAAGGATTGGGTTTTTCCAGAATGTCTTAACTTCTTGATGTAGAAAGTAAGACGGAATATTTTCTTAGAAATCATCAAGATATGAGACGACCAGGAAGGAAATATCAGCAGATAGAATGACGCCAAAATATTTAATTTCCGATTTGGTCTCTATTTCAGTGCCATCTGTGTTGCACACCTCGTGAGTGCTAACCAGTTTGTTTAGGTCAGATTTATGCCTAAAGCTGAAATTGACTGTGTGGCAT